GCAGAACTCTGAACATTCGGCATTAAAACTGTTCTGGTAAATATCAAAGCAGGAAGTTGAAAGCTTTAAAATAAAATCGAAATGGCGTTCTACAGGGGTGTCTACCTACTGGACTTCAGGTAAATTTGGGGATAAATGGCGAGTTAAGATATGTACAAATATTAGCAATATTTTATTGGCTTACTAAATATGTATGACATATAACTTGTGAATAGAATACAAAGATGTACGATTTAATACATCGTTAGCATTGGTGTGTAGGTGTAGAGTTATTTCTTCTCGAGGAGCTGACGAATACTTGTGATAATAAGGACATTTTCTATGCATACCATTTCATTTCGTAGATGGTTACTGTCGAGTTGAGCAGCAGTATGTATAGTACTTGAAGGTTTTATATGTCCCCTGGTGAACAAGGGCACGTGCTCTGACGGTCGGTATGCTGACCTCACTGTGGGAGAGTTTGCCAGTCAAACAACCACCCGTGCTTACGTCCTACCCATAGTGAACAGTCATTTCTCGTCGTTGTTGGCTTTTAGTTTTGGGTGCAGTTTTACAAAACATGTTCTTAAAAGGGTAAAAAATAATAAAAGCTGTTGCTGTTGCACTTAAATACATTTAGCATAACTGTTGTGTAGAAAGTATAAGTACTGCAGGTTTATCGAACATCCAGACAACCAGGTTGTTTGTTGTTTAACAGATGGTAGTCACGTAAATCATAAGGTTCACAGCGGTAATATACTTGCCAATACAGCTTGTTAAATGTTGCATTTGAGAATGAAGTGAAACTTTTACTTTAACCTTTCGTCACTGAACAACCCGTCCACACCTGTTGCGTTTTAGGCTTGTAACGCCTTTATTATTAGCTGTATTGAAAGAACGTCAAGCTTAATGAGCTTACAGTTGAAAATGATTATGAAAGTCATATGTGAAAAATGAATGTACTAACTAGTTTTGGTGCGTTCTCCATGTTTTAATATTTATGACCTTTTTTTAATTCAATTCTATCTATTTAAGCGTGGTTGGCCCTTTTTTTTCTGTTTCAAACAGATTATTAACACCTGCCACAGGAACCAGCCCAGCATCTTTTAGTGATTTAGGGTTATATGATAGATTTGGAGGATTGAAGCTTGTCACAACTTTTAAAACAAAAAATACTAAATATTAATGAAATATGACATGATGAAATTTATGTGGATTGTGATATGATGGTACCATACAAAGCATTATACCATCCTTCTTGTATTTACTCATCATTGCAGAAATAGCATTTTTATTTTGAGAATTGCTAGGGGAATCATCTTGTAATGCATCTGCTTCAACATCAATACTATATATTTGGGCTTTACTGTGTTGTTAGTTTCACAAGTTATTGAAACTAATGATTTCTTATATATGATTCAAACCCCCCTTTTTGAAGTTAATGATACTATTGTGCCAAGTTTTTTATCTTTCACTTTCAATGCAGTAATCAATTGACTAATCTTTCATTCAGCTGGTTTGTCAAATCGATTGGGATACCTCCAAATAAGTTCTTCCCTCATCTGACCTATGGTTTAGTTTAATTGCTACACTTAAACCATCACTTTCACAACCATATCTAGAACATTCCAAGCATGTATCATTGCTACATCATTGTACTTTACAAGTAAACTTCTCCATGTCAACTCTATTGGTCTCATATCTAGCAATCTAGATCTCATAAATAATGTCTTCTTTTTGTTTAATAAAAACAACCCAAACCTTTCTAGAATGACTAAATTTTTTGGATCCACATCAAGATGCTAGGCTGGCTCATCTGGTAGTTGACTGTGCCTTTACGAATAGATAATTATTGAAATAAAAAAACTACCTTTAAAGATTTATTTGAAAATAAATAACCTGTGATTTAAAGAAAAATTTCAACATTAAGGTAGGTTCATCTGATTTCCCTGGTAATTAATAATGATAGGTTTAAGTCAAATTAGGCTATGTTGGTTCTACTTGTGCCACTACTGACAGCTAAGTATAGACCATTTTTTTCTTTTATTTTAAATGACAATCTTATAAAATTGTGTAAACATTATGATGATCTAGTTAACTTGTTTGTGTAAGTTTTGGAGAGGTACTGGATAGACATTTCATTTGTGGAACCTTGAAATGTCAGTTTTAAAAAGTGTAGGTATAATTCATAAGTAGCATACACAGTTTTTCTTCACATTCAAAGCTTTATTGACAAGCTTTCAACCTGGATCATATAGTAATAAAGAATAAAGGCTTCCCAGTGAACCAATATTTCAAAATATATTTTGAAAGTTTATTTATTCTTCTTGTGAAAATGACCTATGAAAACCTCTTTTTCCACCAACCCAAACCAGACATGTATGTATTTTTATATTCTCATATAAATATGTAAAGAATTGGACTGGAGAAAAGGATGAAATCCTTTACAATAGTGTTAAAAAAAAAACCTATGATAAAAGCCTGATAAATTTATAAGTATTCATTGGAAAACAAGGAAACCAATTTGGTCTTTGTAATATCATAATTTTATAAGTGATTGGGCTAGAAAATTGGTTGTGTGCTCTAAGAAATTAGGCAGAAAACCTATATTATTTTGGTCCTTGAGCCTATAAAAACCTATATGTTGATGATATATGCTATTTTTTAGCCTGTTGTCCTAAGAAATGGACAAGAAGGCACAAGAATAGTCATTCATTGTAATTAAATGGTTTCTTTGACTGATGAGGACTTTGAAGGTTGTATTTTTTTCATTTAAGCAACTTACCATGAAAACCAATACTTGGGTTACATATATCAATTTCACCAGTATTATTATATTAGGAGCTGTTTAAATTTATTTTAAGGTAAAAGTGTATATATATGGTTTTTAATCATTAATTAGTGTGTAATTTATTTTAAAGAAGTGTCAATTTTGTTATGTTTATTTATACGTTTTTATCTTGGAATATCTTGGAAAGTAAAAAACAAACAGAATCTTGTTATTAAACTAGGAAAGTAAAGAACATTTGAAAGTAAATTTTGTTAAGAATATTTAAAACATAACCATTTTAGTTTTTAAGTAAACTGTATTATAAAAGCTGGTGTGATGAAAAAATTTAATGCAAACATTTTCAGACTGTGTAATTTACAAAATATAAAAATGAACAGATATGCAGTAAAGTTTTTGTTGCTGATATGCCTGTTGTCAAAACCCTCAGAAACTTGTCTGAAAAAACTTTTCAAATTTACTTGGTATTAGCATTCAGAGAGCAGCGATGTAGAGTCGGTAAGTACTTTAGGGGTTTGTTGCACATTTACTGTTATTTTTTGGCAACTATGACTGATTAGTACTTTGAAATTTAATGTGCTTGTAGTTAATATTTAAATATTGCCAAATTTACAGTTTGTTAAACAGAAATAATTCACTTTAATGTTTAAGCTTCACGATGCTACTTACAAAAACTGCAGATTTTCAAGAGATCTTTACTTTGTTGATTAATGTAATTATGTATAACACAAATTATTTATTGATTTTCAGTTTATTAAGCCATTTTATTTTTTTAATAGTTTCTTAATATTTATGACTTGTGCTCATTTGATATTAATCTAAAGTTCTGTAGGTTCAGTATTTTTTTTTTTTTTCATTTAAAACATTACATTTTTCATTGATACTGGAGGTGGAATATCAGTAGTTAATACACATTAATACAGTGTAGTTACTTTCATACATAGACTGTAGACTCCTAAATGTAATGAAATAATGAATGCATCTAGTTAAGTATGTGGTGAATTGAATTATATCATTAATAAAATAAACAGTAAGAACCTGAAATAGTAAAATTGATTCTTAGTGGTCAGAACACTAAGTTTTGTATTTTTTGCAGGTTCTAATTTTCTATCAGTCTAGACACTGAAGTCATTTAATGCTTACTCTAACACTTTTTTTTGTTGTTCGATATTGAAAGTCTCAGTGTTTGAGCCCATATTTAATAGTTCCTTCATGGACAGTGTTGCAAGATTTGTATTTTATGGCATGCTTTAACACAAAATTGTGTTATTAGAATTTCAAGCTTTTCCTTTTCAACTTTGTGCATTTATTTTTACAGTGCATGTAATTCTGGGTTGCACATGTCTGTGTAATTGTGTTGCAATGGGTAGTAATTCTGAACCTATAAAAAAAAGCCTTTATTGTTTTGTATACTCTATATCAACTGTGTTGGTCTGAAATACTTGGATAAATGATGATAAAGAATAAATTGACAGGTCTAAATGAAATTTTTTTCTAGTGTTCTGAAATACATATATTAATTGATTGTTCTTTGTTATTGTTTGTTGACAGTTTAACTAATGGATATCTTGTGCTGTATTGATGATGTAAATAGTGTATTATACCATAATTTTTTAGAAACAATATTAGCTATAATTGCATTTAACTGTAGATAACATTTCTAGAACGTTGTAGAGACTGTGACTACAGTTTGTTTGTTTTTTATGGTGGCATTCATATACTATTTAAATTTACTGTGTTAGGCCACTCATAGTATTTCAAAAATATAGCTAAGTCTTAAAGTTTGGTTGAAAGGCAATACTTCAAAGGATGATAAACTCTTGTGTTAATGAGTCATATAGCCAAATCATTAATAAAATTATTGGAATTGTGATTATTTTGAGGTAAATAGTTCATTTAATTCCTTAAAGAAATTACTTTTAGGAGTTTGTTTCAATAAATTGTAGAATGTACTATAAATGAGTTATTATAGTTTGCATATTTTCAATAAGTTATCAAATTCTTATTTCACCAAAATGAAAGTTGCGTATGTCAGTCCTAATATAGTGGGTTGAAGTCCTCCTATACATAACAATATGATGTAAGGAGTAAAAATATAACTACAGGTTTCAGATGTCCTACAAGAATTGCAAGTATATTAGAGACTTTTGAATCAGAAGAATATGAAGAAAGTTCAATAGAAAATACAGGAGAATGGAATTACAAAACCAAGTGAAACATTTAATTACAGAAGAGTGTGACAACCACAGGTTAAATTGCTGTCAAGTGATAAAGAAGAATTAAAACATGTATTTATAAATATATATAAATTAAAGAGAGCATAGTGAATGCTGGGTAAATCATGTTTAATGATGCATATGATTCTGGTGAAACTATTGGACTTTGTTAGATAAATTACAGAGCAAGATTACCACAGTACAGAAAGAAGTGGATGAATGAATTTTATCATAATGTAATGAAATGTGGGAGATCAGTTAAAAAATATCAATACAGTAACCCCAAAACTGAATCAACTTGTACATGTGATAATATTAATATCATCATAATTTACCCTTTTATAACTAATTTAAAATATATCTTTATTTGGGTAATTTTTTGTAACTTTTCATGCAGGCATTCTATAGGTATTTGAAATATTCATGTAAACCTAATGTACAAAAGTTTTAACCTTGTACTAACACTCTCATTTAGATAAGGGTTACATGTTATGACAGCGGTGACATAAAATCTTTTGTCTGCTTGTGTCTGTTTCCTGGGGTTGGATAAGCTCATTTCAGGGGTATACATAAATGCTTGTGCAAGATAGTATTGAGATGGAAGGTTCATTTCCTTGTATATGTAATGTGAAATAGTCATTGACATAGGTAACTTAAGGATTGTGGGATATCACACTAGGACTTTGGTTTGATTTGCTTTGTCCTTGTGCTGTATGAATGAGAGATTATCTTCCTCTCCTACCCCAGTAGCCAGCAAGAAGTCACAACAAAACATTGAAGCCAGCTGTGAGTTACAACATATATTTATTATGAACAAATGTACTGTTTGTTTGTTCATTGTGTATTCTTTTTTTTTTGCTGTGTCTGTATTTGGTAAATTACCCCGAAAAGCATGTCTAGAACCTGCATTTTATTGATAATTTTATCTACCTAATCAATATTAGTGTACTTGTATACCACAGATTATTTATCAAGTTACATTTTGGTGTCATGATCAATTTTTTTTTTTTATTATGGGGTTTATTTTGAACGTGCTTCTTTTTCCATTTGATTCTATGATGCTGTAATATTCAAAAATTGTTTGATATGGAAGAGCACTTTATCTGTGGAAATTTTGATGAAGAGGAAGAGGCTGTGGGTAAAATGAAGACTTGATCTGGAAATGTGGGATGGCTAGGAGAGGCACTTTCTTAGACCAATATCTTTTATCAGTCCTGGTTAGAGCTATGTCCATGTTTTTGCTTTATATTGGAACCTAAAGTTTAAAAGGCAGATCTTACATGACCTCTAATGGTTCCTTTCCATATGAAGGAGCATGGGGCAGTTGAGAAGGGTCATGTTGGCATTAAGCAGGTTGAACATTCTGAAACTTTCTGGGGTGGTCTCTGTGGGAGACAAGCCTGGGTGTTGCAAAGCACTAGTTTGAGTCCAAAATAAAACTATAAACATCATGACACTGTTGGATTGATTAACTAGTGTCTCATCACAAATCAGTGTGTCTTGGAGTTAGTAAAGAGCTTTTGTCATCCTCAGGTTGCATGTGTGTCTGGACTTTTGGAAGAAGATGAGGACCTTCCCTTAGGGGGATAACTGAGGAAGATTTCAACCATTTCCTCAAGTATGTCAAGCAAATTGTTGCTTAGAATAAATTGACTTGGAGATAGGCTGTGTAACACCTGATGCTGAATCTAAATGGTCCTATGTTTGATGCCTTAAAGCAATTGAACGAGGAGTAACTCAGTGACTATGACACAGATATTAATGAGTTAGGCCACAGATTTAACCATGTGTAGAACAGTGCAATCCATAAGGCCAAAGTCAAAGCTATAATTTGAGGCTCCCCCAGGAGAATGTACATTGAATGGAAAAGCAGTTCCAAGAATGTCTTCTGCAGAATAAGATGGGATACTCATCGAAAAATTTATAGAGGAGTTGTTAAGCAGTACAACATGGGTTTGAAGGACATTTGGTCTCTCATTTAAGCAGTTTGTATGGCTATGCAATTCAAAGTGGTCTTGTTGAATTGTATGCTGATGCATAGAAAGAAACCAGATGCAGATGCATCTCTGAGACAATGTCCAAGATTTCTGACAACCCCAAGGCATGACAATTGCATCAGCTCCAATATAGCAGATGCCACAGTCATTGTGATTTCCTATGGGATAACAGGATTTCTCAGGCTCAGTTGCCATGGCTGTGCCACAAATGTAACTAGTTTTGGATTCTTGACAATGTCAAGAATTAAAAAAAAAGTATCACGTGCTTTGTCTGGCTTACCTGGTTACTTATTATATAAATGCCTATATCCTGTTGTAAGACAGGGTTATTTGGTGTGAGTACTGTGTAATGCCACAACAAATACAGGAAGGCCAATGAAGAGCTATGGCTTGTTTAAACAAGTTGGATCTAGCCTCCAGGTAGGGCAAGTGAAGCAGTTGGCTCATACACAAATTTATGAATTATGATACAAATACAAAATTTTAAAGTAAGAAAACAGAGAGAATATAAACAACTTAATGTGATAGCTGAGATTATGAAAATGCTCGTAAATGCACTGATAACGAGACACAGGCATAAGTTTTGGCTTTTTGGTAGATGATTCAAATGTCAGAACTTTACTCAAACTTGCCATGTCTCAGGTACTCTGTGGAAAGCCACCACATAAACCATTAGCACTAACTTTATTTTGACAAGTGGTAACAAGCTAGGTATGAGTGGAGAGGCATATCTCCAGCTTCAACTTAGGAATGTTGTGCACCTAATGAACATTGTGGTCTCTGACCTGGGTTGAGGGAGGAACTTACTGCAGAAATTGTCATCTAGTTTTTGTTCATGCAATGTGTGAACTGCAGTTCTGCAGCAAAACCATCCAGTGCTGACCAGATTGGGCCCCAAAACAGTGGACAGCACAATATCATGTTGAGAAGAGGGTAGTAATACCACCAAAAGTGCATGTGGTGTACTGTTGATACTGTCTAATTGTGTTGTTGATCTTTGCTGTAATAATAGAAGTTACACACAAAACATGGTGTTTTCTGTCCAGAAAGCAGACTGTACTAGCTCAAACAGTATAGGTGTAGCTTTGTATACAGTTTGCATGTGTACATAATATTTATGATCTCCAATTTCAACCTCGGTTATTGTAATTTCTTTTTCCCTTGGCTAAATCATATACTTTAAGCATTGGAATGAAACATGTTTTTGTAAAGTGGTTATAGAAGGTCAAAAGCGACTGTTTTATGTAAAAATAAGGTAAAGGTATAAATTTTTGAAACTGTTATAGGTAGGGGTTAGTTGACCAGTTATTGCATGAGTAGGATATGCTGTATTTCACATTAATACTTTCAAGAGAATGGAAAGTAAAATAATTAGAAGTATGAGAACATGGCTTATTGTTGAAAGAATAATGCTATAAGTGACAAATCATTGTGATGATGTGGAACTTTTCTTGCTTTTCTGGTGCCTGTTCTATTTGCATTATATTAAATAATATATAATTTTAAGGCAAGAAAATAGAGAACACAAACATGTACGTAGTAGCTGAGCTTATGAACAAGTAAAACTAGTGAAGAAGAGAGAACCACTTCATTATATTTTAACATGAATATTTTACCAGTAATTTGACATCCGTATCTGACATGTAAAACAGTGTTTCTAGAGTGGGATGATGTGTTGAATTCTATACTGAGGCAATAATCGTTTTGAAGTGATTGGGTCTTTAGTAAATTGTATTCATTACTCACCAACTAATTGTATTCACTCAGAGGAATAGAACCCTCACAACCATCTGGTTCTTCATTAAGTTCCACTTTCTATGTACCAAAAGTGTTTTTTTCCTAAGACAAAAACCTGCATACGTGAGATAATCCAGCTATGTTCAGATTAACTTAAGATGAGTATGACTCTTTTGAGATATTCTTCCAACTAAATTTTCAACAGTATTATATGCAACTAATAATGTATATATATATATATATATATGTATTGTTGAACCTTGATTAATTTTTCAGTCCTCTAAGTCATCAGCCAAGCGAGCAAGTAGTGCTCCTCCTCCAAGAAGGGCAATGTTATCAACCCCAAAGCATACTCCAAGCTCTTCTAGTAAGTATGTGTGTTTGAATGTTTAATAAGGTATATTCTTAATGGATATTTCACAAGGATATTTTTTGTTTGTATTGTACATATATGCTTCTCATAGTAACTCATGAGCTCTCTTATAGTCAATCATTTTCAGTAGTTTTTTCAATGCATTGTCATGATTTTTGGTTGTTTTAATATTATAAAATAATAAAAGCAGAAATTTGGGGGTGTAAATAAATAATACAATTTATATTGTGTATATAAAATAGGCAAATTGTTTTTCTTGTCTGTATTTTCTTTAAAAACATAAAATTGTGCGTTAAAGTTGGACATCATATAATTTTTGTAACTTTGTTAACCAGTGCTTTGCATAAGGCACTAATTATTCATTTTATGTCTTGTAATCAATATGGGTGATGTGTCACAGATTATTGCTGTTAACCTGTGTGGGTGGTGTGTCACAGATTCTTGGTGTTAATCAATTTGGGTGGTGTGTCATGGATCCTAGCTATTAATTGTTGTGGATGGTGTGTCACAGACTCTTGCTGTTAACCAGTGTGGGTGGTGTGTCACAGATTCTTGCTGTTAACCAGTGTGGGTGGTGTGTCACAGATTCTTGCTGTTAACCAGTGTGGATGGTGTGTCACAGATTCTTGCATGGACAAATGTACAGTCAGTTGAGTTGCAGTTTAGAATTTTGAGATTTATTATAACAAATGACTCGCATTAAAATAGTCCTTATTAAGCAACAGACATGTTGAAGAAATAATGTAGCCCTTTCCTTTCTGGAAAAATTCACATGTAACATAGATTAGTTATAAAACATGAAGAATTTGTCTATTGGTTGAGTGTTTGTTTTGCACTTTTTATATATGAAGATAATAATCAAGGTACAGAAATTAAAATGTTAAGTTTGCCTAGATAATCATAATATTGACCTCTTGGATCATGGGTCTGTTTTAACAGAGACCACACATTTTAGTTTTACTAACCCCACCCTGTATTTCAAAACATCTTTCTTTTTTAAATTTCATCTTGTCTTTGATAAGAAGAAAACTGAGGTAGATAATGTCATGACCTTGTTCTCTGTGGTTGTGGAAACCACCCTCTAATGAGAGTCTGATACCTGTCATGCGAAGTAGATTTTTTTTAAGGGTGTTGACTAGAATTGGAAGGTCCATGTAATTGCTGTAATTATTATAATGTATTGCCAGATTATAAAAGCATTGTTTTAGTGCCAAAAAAATCCATTTTTCTGTTTTATATTTTTGTTTAGTATTCCCCTGGCTTATGGTTGTCCACATTTGATTAGAATAATATGTAAGGTTTTTTGTTTGTTTTTTTTGCCAAAGTCTAACATAATGACCTAGGTGTGTACAGGTAACATATCTGTAATTTTTTAAATTTTTATTATTATTATTACAATTATTTTAATTATATATATAATTAATGTACTTGTAACAAACTTTTTATTTGTTATATAACCATTTACCTCGTGAAATTTAATAATGAAGCAAAGATGCTTAGATTGTACATTTCTGATCAAAGGTAATTAGCTAAATTTACATCTTAGCTTATTCTATGAATATAAAGAAGTGTTATTAAAAATGAGAATCCAAACTATAAATTGTTTCAAGAAAGTTATAAGTGGGGTCATTTTGCACAAGCTGATGTTTGCAAGTACTTCATCTGGTTGGCAGTAATGTTTCAACTCATTTGAAGAGAAAAGTGTGGAAATTTATCTTAATAAACCAAATGTCACAGTGTTCAGATCTGTTCAATTTTAACAGAAACAGGCTACTTTAATATCATAAATCTGGTAATGAATACAACTAATTACAGAAAACAACAAGTACTTCATTTTGATTGTTTAATGATATTTTTATACGTTATGTGTATTTGGTATTTCAACTGGTAATGTGAAAATCAGACCACAAAATGAATGCACATTGTTTCCTACTTCTGATGATGGTATGCCATCAATCTGAAAGCTAAGGCTTCAAATAAATTTGTATTTATATTTCTGAATTATCAGGATTTTGTACAAGTGTGTGCTGCTATGATGAAGTTTTCCTTTTATTATCTAATTACAATTCAGATGACTCTGACTCTATATCATTTAATTAGATCTTATTTTGAAATTTCTCATTGTCACATTCCTCTATTTACTAAATTACATTATAAGACAGTATTGCATTTATAAAGAACTGTAACTGACAGGATACGTAATTCGAACATACATTATAAAGAAAAAAATCACTAAAACAATAAGAGAGAGAAATCCAATTAGCAATTTTTTAACGTGAACAGTATAATTATTTGGGAAAAGAGAAGTACAATCCTTTAAAAACAAGAATTAAACTTGGATACAAAGATTTGGAATAATATTGTCTCTTTTTTTTTTTACTTTAAAACACTATTAACTTATAATGAAAATAATGATAAACTTCTAGAAATAGTTTTGTATACTGATTACTTGAGCTCGTAAACAAACTAGTATTTTCCATCCATTTTATTATTTTCAACATGAGTGGTTGGTGATTCATTTATTGGAGGAGTTTGGAATATAAATGTATTTTAGACCACTGGTAATTAATCCAGTGTTTTATGAAAAATTCAACAATCTTCTTGGTACTAATTATGGGATTAATAGTTGTACAGAATAATACTGTTGTTATGTCCTCTTATTATTCTGAGCTTTCCCTAATCATATTATGTGTACCTTTTAGCTGCTGCTTGGAGTTTAACTTTATTTCTGGCTGCCTGCTTGCAGCATGTTATATAAGAGTGAAAGATGTTAGTTAAAGTAAATTAGTTGTGATAGAACACACTTCATGCTGTGTTTATTACATTTAACTTGATTGTATTTTAATTAAATACCAATTCTTATTGTTTATTAAAATATTCTGTTATTCATTAAATTTTTTATTTATTATTTTTTATCTTCTTGAACATTAGTTTGTATACTATATTATCTGACTATCTTGCTATCTGATAATAGATGTACAGTAATATGCTGTAGAATTCATCTCATATGTTAGGCTACTTTAAAGTTACAACTATTTAGTTGTGTTTCATGGTCACAAGCTTTTGTTAGGAAAGATTATATTAAGTTTTGTATATACTGATGATAAGTTCTTCAAGGATCATGAAATCTGCAATAGTGTACGAAGTAAACTGCTAGTGTTGTGAAAGTTAAACTATACTCTTTCTTTAATGTTAGTTATATTAATAGTATTAGTTAAAATGTTGAATATATCTTATTTTTATTATTAAAGTATTTTTTTTTACCATTGTTTATATCTTATGCTGGCCTAAACCTTGTAGAGGTATTATGG